TGCTCGGTTAATCCCCTGGACGACGGGGCAATCAATGCTGAGCGGAAGCAAGAAAGATACACCAGTGTAAATTCACTCTGTTACGCACAATGAAATGAAATTCAAATAACAGCACTCATAGATCGAGTCATTACAAACATCCTCACGGCGAACCCTCGTCGTGTTTCGTCTATCCCGCACATAGACTCTTTTTTTTTTTTTTTTTTTTTTAAAGGAAAACTTTCATTGCTGTTTATAAGCTGGGAACCGGGCCCAACGTCCCTCACATCATTTAGCTCCAGCCTGAGGGGATGAGCCGGGCTCTCCGGCCAGGCTTAACCCCAACCGCAGCAGAGAACAACAGAGAACATACATTTTTTGGCGCTGTATGATCCTTGTAGATCGTCCCAACTCATACTCGTCTTCCTTTTTTAACCACCTATGTACTGCCTATCTACTGCCTATTAGTCAACCATCGAATAACTATCAGCTAACTATCAACCAACTATTGACCAACTCAGTAATTACTCAGAAACAACCAAAAAAAAAAAAAAAAACTTAAACCAACCTTAAAACTAACTGACTATCAACAAGCTATCACCTGACTATCAGTTAAATCTCCAATATTTACAAAAGCCATGAAGTAGCTGAACCAACCAATCTATTTACAGCCATCGATCGGGTTCAAGAAAGAGGCTCATATAAAAAAAGCAGTAAAGCTCAGTTGTGATCGTCCTCCTTCGTCCTGGACCATTGAGAACAAGCCTGATAAGGCCCCCCAGTGAGTAGCAAACAGTCTCAGTGATTTGGCAGAATATCCCTTCTTTTGAACTTTATATTCCCAATCTGCAAGAATCGCCTGCTTGATGCCGTATTTTACTTCCGCTCTAATCATAGGAGCTGTTAATCGTTCTCCCCTTCTCACCGCCAAATTTTTCAATGTCCACAAGGTCCATAGGATAGCTCCTCTGATTGTCTCTTCTGCATAACTCATCACACTCCCCCGGCGCGTCCTACGGGCCACAGATCCCATGAGGACAAACTGGTCAGTCCACCATGTTTCGGCTTCCGGGACAGGAACCATTCCTCCCCTCCACCAGTCCCAGAAAGGTCGGGAAAGGTCGCAAAGGAGAACGAAATGGTCCAAATCTTCAATCCTCGTCCCGGAACATATTTCACAACCAGGGAGTGTTTTAGATGTCCTCCTAGAACACCATGCCGCCACCGGAAGGGACATATGCATCAGCAGTCACAACAGGCTCGCATGTTTAACCACTGCCAAATCCATTAATTGTTTCCAAAACGCAGGCATCGCTTGGGCAATTCTCAGCAATGAATCCTGAATCCAATTGGTTGCTGTCCATCTATTTGTCACTCGCCGGTTGATGTTCATTTCTGGTGTTGATAGTTGATAACCCAATTTGGTGGAATACTGATACACCGGTACAATTTGGTGTCTCTTCTTAGGGTTCTCCCATCCCCAAGCCGTAGGGTCCACAGACAGTGAGTAAGCCGGCTGAGATAGGCAATACGGTCTGTAGTCATCATCATACTGCAACACACACACCGGAAGCAGTTCTTGAATAGGGGGAACTGACAGCTGTTGCGGAGCTAAAGTAAGTTTTTCCCCAATTGACATCCCTCCTCCCTGCGTGTTCCAACAAGAAAACGAGATATTGGCCACCGAAGAATAGTCTTCCATTTTCCAAATCTCAGTCGGTTCATGGTCTTGTTCCCATTTGTACCATGTTTCCTTCTGAAATGCCAGTCCTCCGGCCAACGTTTCGACCCAGTCTTGAGGAACTGCTTGTTGCAGCTGAATCAAGTGCTCCCTCTGATGCCACAGGCCTACAAGGGCTGCAGCGAGATCTGTAAATGGTTTCCAGTCTGCTCTGTTCACATCCCAAATATCAGCAACAGTCCCCATGCCTCGCGACATCCACGCGTCCCCGAAAGCCCCGGGCCCAAAGAAAGCAAAAGTGGAGCCATTTTGTGAGAGAATGTTGGGGTTTTCGAACAAGGGCTGCGTGAGCAATTGGTCCATTAACAGTGGAGGCTGCAACAGCCTGGGGACCACCCGGTTCCAGGCTTTAAGCACACCTGCCCAGATCCCTTCCCCCATTCTTTTCCTAAGATAAGAAGGAAAGAAAATTGAAAGTCACAGATATCTGATATTATTCCAGTTCCTATGGGTATAGATCTCGAATTCTGCCAACTGACGCCACGCTGCCAAAGGGCCCGCTGCCACAGCCCATGGGACCCACCGTGTCAATAATGCAATTATTTGCCGCTCCGGGTCCAATAACGACAAACCACCATTCCTTTTAGTCTGAGTGATCACTTCCCATACAACTTTCGGCAAAAAAATTTGTTCATTCATTTCTTCTTTCCACAAGTAATGAGTCAACAGATTACGGATCACTCGAAGGGAGGCAACATCTAGCTGGAAAATGGCTCTATGATACCAAATTGTAGAAAAAACTGAATTGTTTAATACTATCACTCGACCAAACAAGCTAACGCCTTTGTGCCGAATCCATGGTCGCAGTGCCTCTTTTACCGCCAACAAAGCCTGTGAAGAATTTGTCATCAGTTGCGGAGAAAAAGAGATTCTGTGACCCAGCAACCGCTCTTGTTGTGTAGGAACCACCACCCAGAGCCCCCACTGAGGGGCGGGGACCCCAGGCGGGATTAACACTGAAGACTTGGACTAGTTGACTGCAACCTGGGAGATCTGGCAAAAAAGGTCTACTCTCTGTTTCTGTGCTTGAAAAGTGTGATCGGACAACGGGGTTACTGCAACAGAATCATCAGCAAACGCCTCATATTTCAAAGTTTGTCCAGAAGGAAGTAAAAAACCTGGTATAAGAGGGTCTGCTCGAATCATAACATGAAGAATCTCCACATACAGTTTATACAGATAGGGGGCCACAGGGCAACCCTGACGAACAGATCTAGACAAAGGAATGGGACATGACAGTGTTCCATTAATTGACAATCTGGAAGAATCATTTGTAAATAAAGTCTTGAACGCTCGTTTGAAGTTAAGGCCAAATCCGAATGCTGTCATCGCCGCCATAAGGAACTCCCAACCCACTCGATCGTACGCTTTTTGGAGGTCCAACAGAATTATAGCCAGTTGTTCTTCACCGTCAACCACCAATTGTATGATTTGTTGAACTGTCATCACGTTATGCAGGATCTGCCTGTCGGGCAGAAAACCCGTCTGAGTTGGATGGATCAAGGACGGAAACTGTGCACTTGGCCCAAAAAGAAAGCCAGATGCACCAAAAATTGAAAAATTGAGCATATGGGCTAAAATTTGAAGCATAAAGTAATTGATACAAGAATAGGATAGCAAAAAAAAAACAAGAGTAGATATCCCATGAACAAAGTCATAGCTTCGTCCTCAGTTTGATATGAAGTACAAAAAAAAATTAAAGGTAATAAAGTAGGGGGAAAGAAACAAAAAGAAGAAAATTACTGGCATTAGTGTGATTGGTCGGTAGTTACGCACGTCGGTCAAATCTCCTTTTTTGGGTATAAAGGTTATAATTCCTTCCAGCGCAGCTGGCGGCATCGGTGCCCCTGCCCAAGTCGACTTACAGATGCGAAACAAGTCCGGCAAAAAATGAGGACTGAATCTTTTAAACAAAACGGAGGGGAGTCCATCCCCCTTTGGCATCTTGTGAGCGGCTAAGGATCTGACTGTTTGTATAACTTCGGTGATCGTGATATCTGCCTCCAAATATTGTGACTGTCCGTCCGTCAGTTTGCGCTCCACCATCGACCAAACTTCATCCGTGTATTGGTGGAGCAACTCTTCCTCTGAACACTGCGCATGTGACGTCAACAAGCTCTCATAAAATAATGAGACATTTTGAATTATTGACGCAGTATCTGTCGCGACCGGCACTTGATCTTGAAAAGTGTGCTTCATGGCTAGCATAAGCCGCGGGTTATGGCGGGGGCGGTGACCATCAAAAAAGGATGTTGTCATTCTATCCCCTTTAACCAACCAGGCTATCTTCTTCCTGTGTACCATCGTGCGTATGGCTGGCTGTGTCTGAAACGTCCATTTTTGTCTGATTGAATCCATTGCCCCCATAATTTCCAATTCATCACCCTGAGCATCCGCCGCTTTTTTCATCAAGTTTGCTAAATCATCATTAAGTCTAGCCAGTTGCGTTCTTGTGTTTGCTGCAAGCATCTTTTTCATAGCCAATCCTCTAGCCAAGATCGTTCTCAAACCTCCTTGATACCAGTCAGCAAGAGAAGAATAAAGGGATCTTGCTGAGCGCCAATGTGGCCAAAATTCACGCAAAAACAAACCAAAGTCCCGTGTGAAAAGTACCCATTCAGGTAAGACAACACGACCAGTTCCCGCCCTAACTGTGGTATGTAAGAAGAATTCCAAAAAAATGGGGAGGTGATCAGAACCTACGCAAGAAACCACAAAACATCTAGAAAGTCTATGCAACAACGCGTCCGACACCATAAACAAATTTATTCTACTTCTTGGAATATATGCCTGTTCTCTTGCACCAGCAGCGAAAAAGGTATAACCTTTTTCGAAGGGGTGCAAGAGTCCAAAAACGTCTGAAAATCCTTGGACCGAGCAGAATTCAGACAGGTAAACTGCATCGGCCGATAGCGGACCCGGTCTGAAAGAGTCTACCTCCGGTATGAACACCGTGTTCCAATCACCACCCAAAACAAGTTTATCCACCGCCGGTAATTTCCATGGCAATGATCTAAACAGCTCTATTCTAGCTTGTGGAGAGGTGGGGGCATACTGATTAAAGATTGTCCATTCCTGTTGACACATTGTAAATCTCACCCAGATCCATCTACCCAAGTGGTCCATCCTGTAATCAGTGACCTCAGTCTGTGCCACACGGGCAAACAACACTGCCACTCCGCCTCTGGTCCCTTGGGCCAGGGCCCAAAACTGTTGGCCCGACCACCATCCCATCTGTTCCATAATAGTGTCTTCATCCAATTTCGTTTCTTGCAGCAAGACAACCTGCGCCCCTTTGTTCCTTGCCAATGTCTTGATGAGGGATCTTTTAACTGCTACCCGATGAGACCCGAGGCCACGAACATTCCAAGAAATAATTCGTAATTTGTCCATTAGTCTCAGTCGGTCCAGTCCTTACACTTGAGCATAAGAAAATTATTAGAAAAAATACTCTTGTGCCACGGGATGTTCGCATCCACCTGCTTCAAAATTCCCCCATTCCAACAGTCATAAATTTTTGTACTAAGTGCAATCTGTCCTGTCAGATTGTTGAAAAGAGCAATCGGTATCCATCTTAGGCCCTTTAGTAGCGCTTGCACTCTTAACGCCGGATTAGTCACCACGTCTATGATAGGAAAGTAAAGAATATCAGTCCTTCCTTCATCGTTGGTTGGGGTGAGTCTGACCCAATCCATTTTCGGATACGCCCTCAGTTTAAAGGCCGGAGACAGCCATTTTGTGATTTCTCTAAAGACAGATCCAGGCATAGGATCTTCATGAAGTTCGAAATGTGGAATCGCCAAATCACCTTGGTCGGACATTGCCGCCATAACATTGAGCTCGCCATCTGTCGCTGAGAAGATAAGAGGAACAACTACACAGGGCTTCCCTCCCGCCATCGCATCGAGTATTGAGCCTGGAAAAACTGCTGCTCGTGTGTGATGTTGCTGTTGCTGTATTTCATCCTGATGTTGGGACTGAACCACTGTTTCAATCAGTTTACCTTTATTTTTTTTTATCTGTCGCTGATCTGTTTGAGTCTGACCTTGTTGCAAAACGTGTTCTGTGAGCCCAGGTTGTTCTGTTTCATCTTCATCATCCAGTATGTCTGCCCACTCCACTCTCTCTTTGTTGTTATCTGTCTGATCCCCTTTTCCCGGCTTGTCATACGGTTTATAAGGCATTTTCTTCGGTCCTCCAACCAGTATTTTGCGGCGAGGAACTTGAAGGGAGCTTTTCTGTTGGAGCATCATCTCCTCTTCACCCGGGTTGGCCTGTTGCACTCCCTGAGCTCCTGTACCCGGTTGTGTCATATCAGGGTGTTCTTCTGTAAGCATAACATTACCACCATCATCTGCGACGATCAATCTTGCTGCAGCATCGCCCATAATCATGACACTTTTCTCAGTTTCCATCCTCTCCTGGGTAGGATGATCAGGTTGCAGCCCATCCCCCGTTCCTCCCAGTACCGAAGGCGATCCATCCCCGACTCCCACAAAGGTAGGTACCGCTGCTCCCACCGGAGAAGGGACACTCCCAGCCCCCGCAGTGGCCAGTGTGGCACCTCCCAGTGGGAGAGAAACGCTTCCAGTCCCGGCAGGGACGGGCAGATGGCCTCCGACTGCTGTCGTGGTGGGATCCTTCTCAACCCCAGTCGGGACCCGGGCAAGACCTCCCCCAGACCCAACCGGGGCCGGGGGTGGTCCTGCGCCGCCAACCGGTGCTGATGAAGAACCTCCCCCAGACCCAGCCGGAGCTGAGGGCGGTCCCACTCCGCCAACCATTGCTGACGAAGGTCTAGCAACAGGCGAGCCCTTGGTAGGGACTAACAGAGCTTCAACCCTTCCCTGTCTATTCGGGCACTGCTTATCACCAGTGACATGACCAAACCATCTGCAATCACGGCACCACGGTGTTTCTTGTGTAACTATCTCAATAGTATGCATCCCCTGAGGAGATCGCACCTTAAGATTTTTGGTAACCCTTGTCTTGGATCTAGGGTGGAGGTCATACCTGCGGTTCATCAATCTGGGAGCTACCTTGTTCCTCTCTGGCGGATAATCTTTTATGACCTCTCCGAATTCCTGTATCACAGCGGCCTTAAGAAAAGGCATAACCAAATATGGAACTCTCACTGCTCTTATCCAAAAGCGTTGAGCTTGCAAATCTTGTCTGGCTTGCTCCTGCTCCACTTGTGTGGACCATGGTCGATACAGCACCTTGCATGGTTTCTCATCCACCGGCGCATTATCCTCTTTTTTCAATGTATTCACCAACCAATCCCTCAAAACATGATTGACTGCCAGATATGATATCATATTCGCTCCCTTAGGTTTCACTCTACCATGCTGTCCTCCCACCATATCCGAGTCCCATCCATTTTCCATAGTTCGTAGCCAGTGTTCTTTTGCAGCAAATGCAGCGTCTGCACGTGGCCCTTGAAAGACCACCAGCACACCATGTCGTCTCAAGTAATCCACTGTGATATCAGCTGCTCTAGGATCCAAGTCCACCACCACATCGTTCGACTTGTCCCTCGAAGTGACGATGTACTTTGCTGCCATTTCTGAGTCCTCTTCTCCTGAGAGGAAACAATGTCTCACCATTTCACACAATTCGTTTTTTTGTTGGTCCATGGTTTACCAATTTTTATTATTTATACAGGTCGGAAAAATTTACAGTCTATGCCTGCAGTCTTGTGCACGTAAGATATTCACTAAACCTAAAAAGGTCCCGCGGTCAATCCCAAATCCTACACACGTCGAACAAATTAAATCCCCACAAAAACCTGCGTTCACACAAACAACCAAAAATCTCTCCACAAATTGGAGTCCGTAAAGGGAACTAGCAGTATTCAACCAACCAAACTTACGTCCAATGACCAAACCTACATCCTACCCAACAATTAATCCAGCATAGCTCAAATTCCAAATCGTGAATCGAAATCCATTGAAAGACCTGCAAGCACTCGTAACACCCAATCCTGTGTCCTTCC